AGAGACACCGCCGCCGCACACCTGTTTGCCTGTTTGGCTTTACTTGCGCTCGCAGTCACCTGGGCCCATCTGGGTGCGGGTCGCTTAGTGGGGAAGGCCGAGGCGAGGCGGCGCCAGTGAGCCTGCGCGCCGACGGCGGCCAGAAGGGGCCAGAGGCGGTGCCGCCGGTGACAGACGCGAGCCCCACCTTTCCCACGTGGCCGCGAAGACAGGGTGAGAAACTGCAGCCGCCGGGACCCCTCGCGCGCGGGGCGGGGAGTGGGCGCCGCAGGCTCGGGCTGGTGACGGTGGACAGTCCTTGAGCACTTGGGTTTGGGGAATGACTCTTACAGAAGCCGCCGGGGGACAAAACTGCCCCCTCCCCTGGCCTCCGCGGGCTCAGGCCTGTGTACGCAGTGCCTGCTGCGTACCCGGCTCCGTCCTAGACAGTGAGAAAAAGGTGAAGAATAAAACGGATTGGGCCCAGCTTTCATGGAGATTAAGTTTCATTGGGGAGGAGGCGAGACCGTACAAGCAAATAAATAAATGAACCATGTCGCTCTTGATAGAGAGAATATTCAAATAATAAAAGAGATGCGAAAGGAGACGGGGGCTGCTTACCAGAGTGACTATGGAGGATGTCCCTTGGATAGCTGGGAAGAATGAGAAAGAGGCAGGAAGGCACAGGTGAGGAGGGCTAGGTAGGAAAAGAGCTGGTAAAGACACTGGGTTTTGTTTTCAGAGGGTTGGGACACCACTGCAGGATTTTGATCAGGTAAGAAGGTGGTCTCTTTGTGGCGATGCTCAGAGTGTGGCTGGGAGGAAGCAGGCCAGGCCACCCATTGGGAAGGGTAGTGCCTGAATAAAGGTGGGTGTAAAGGGTGGAGGAACATGAGGCATCATTCAAAGCCTCTGATGTTTCCATGTACCATGCTCTTGAGCAGAGCTCTGGCTGTCAGGTGGGATCTTGCTGTTTCTCTTCTTTCCCCCACAACACCTTGGACCCTCTCTTGGCCCTGGCTTTTCCCCAGGTGACTCTCAGATGACCATCCTCAGGCACCATCTTTCTCATTCGTTCTAGATTGAGACTTTTGTCCCCCACCCAGCCTGGTGCTGGACCTAGGAGATCCGGGAGGATCTCAGAGATGGTCCCAGAGCCAGACATTGATCTCCCAGCTCAGGGCTGGGCAGAGGGAGGTTCGTGGGGTTAGCTGGGGTGGGGGGTGCAGAGCAAGGTCAGAGGGCACAGGCTCTATCTGAGTAGCTTGGAAAGGCTCTCAGCGGGAGGTGGCCTGGAAGGGCTGGTGGAGATGACGGAGGGGCAAGTTCCTAAAGGGTACCCCAGCCAAGAGGGTTCTTAGCTTCGCACAAGAAATAATTCAGGATACGAGCCAGACAAGAGGTTAGAGTGGAAGCAATTTTATTGTGCAGAGAGGACAAGCAAGAAGAGCTACTCCACAGGCAGGGTGGTGGACTCTCCTTAGAAGGAAGAGAGACCCCCACCTGTCTCCAGAGGTTGAGCTTACTAGTATATGTTTGTAGTTTCTATGGAAAATTACTGGTATGAGGAAATAAAGAGTGGAAAAATGGAATTAACTTTAACCTTTACAAGGTATATTTTGTGGTTGTTTTTTTTTATGGTATGGCTAAATGATAAGGTATGGGTGAGTAGATATCATCAGTCTTGCAGGATATTTTTGAATATTTTT